TGACAGTTGTGTGGCTTCGGAGGCGTCAGTTGTGTTGACAAATCCTTTAGCTCTGTGGCTTCGCGTTCACGAATGTATCATTAAATTTCATTGGCGAAATCTTTGCTTTTGAATTTCTCCTTTTTTTGGTTAAATTATTATTTACCATCCTGTTTTCTTTATCGGTTTTATCTTTCGTGGTCATATATTCCTTTTGCTTATAGATGTATTCATCGCATCGTGTGTTTGTGGATACGTATTTGGCTTACCTTTGCCAGTGAGTTCCCTTTTGTAACATATTAGCTGGTTTTTATAAATAAAAAATTTATGTATGCACATAAAAATTCTCTTTTGGTGTGGTGGTAGGCGCAGGATGTGAAGGGGAGAACAGGAACGGGAGCATTGAGCGAGGCGGGGCGGGGCGAGGCGAGGCGAGGCGGGAGGAAGAAAAAAGGCGGAGCAGGGTGAGTGGGAAACATTAGTCGGATCCGCGTTAATTTTTTTGTCTGAATGCTGCAACAAAACTATGGGGAGAAGTCACCTCCATTATGTGTTTGTAAATACAACTGTTAGGAAATTTTTCTTTAGTCTACCCGCACTGTATGACATTCTTGTTTTGGGCGGCGGTTATGGAAGAAGAGAAAATCAAACTAACTTTCTCTGCACGAAATACGACATTAATTCTTAATCTTTTTACAGTGTAACTAACAGATGTTTGACATTTACCCCTTCTCAAAGTTCCCATAAGTAAGGGTTGGGAGGGAGGAAATATTAATGGATTAAAAGTTGATTTATGCATCGCTAAAAGGGGCTAAACGGATTCGTTTAATTACTCCGACTCTTTATTACCTCTCCTCCATGCATGGTAGCTTCGGCGTTGAATCCCTTGAAAATAATAAACATTGACGATCAGCCAATCAGAAGGTGGCTGTGGTTTGGGAGGAATGCATGATCTTTAAGATTTGCTAGTTGACTGCTTGTCTACGAGTAACCAAGGCACCTGTAGAATGCCTACTTTAGCATTTCATTACCCAAGTAATCATGGTTGACATGCCAACCATTTTGGTTTAGTAGATCGCATTCAAAGCGGGATAGGTGAAGTGAGAGGAGTGGCTTTGTGCTGGAGGGAAGTGTTTGCCAGTTTGTTGGTTTAGGTAATGCAACTTCTTAATTACCTTCAGACACACAGTAAGATAGACAGTTTGTCAGTTGGTCAGAGGACAAACAACCTCTTCTCAGCATACAGTGGGGGGCAGCTGGTCAATAGTCTTTGAGGCCTCATTAATGTCATCTGTTATTATATGGCAGATGAGGGAAGGTGGATAAGTCGCTCATTTTGCCCTCCAACACCAAAATCCACCTTCCACTGTCAGTGGTGCTGTCGTTGGATTTCGTATCTTCGCCGAACAATGGACTACTTTTAGTACCTATGACACGTTTATGCAACTGAGGCAGAAAAGATGGGAAGAGTATGTGAAAAAAGGAGATTTGATATGTCGTCTACCCCCCAAGTTTCCATACGCTGTCCCAAGTCGGCTTATCTGATTTATTCCAAATCAGTGTACTCACTATGGGTAGAGTCCTTCGATGTGGAAATTGGCAAATTCAATGAGCACTTTGCGACCAGGTGGAGCCACAAAACGAAAGAGACATCGACTGTCCGGAGTGAAGGATGATGGCCACCCGGGGCTGTGAAAGACACCCGACGTGTCCGAGTCAATCATCACCTCCGAGGCGCCAGGACCGCAAGTGAAAGCGGTGGAACTCACAGTGTCTGAGGAGTCTAGTGAATAAAGTAATTTGCAGACGAAGTATTTTGACATGAGTATCTGATTAAGAAGTGGGCCATTTGCTTATGCCCTTCGGCACAACGCCTATATTGGCAGTGTCGTGGAATTTGCTCATGCCATTTATAGTCGTCCCAGTTTTTCCAAGGGGTAGAGGAATAACATTTTCGCCTCCTCAGATAGGATCAAAGTGTATACATGCCTCTAGGGTTTATTTTAGTTGCCTATTTACATAAAAATGCGATACGCGCTGTAAAATGCCCGAAGCAGTGTGCCTAGACTGCGGCTCTTCACTAAGGTGGTAATGTACCGACATAAGAACGACAAAATTTCACACGTAGATACAAATCGTACATAGTTGTGAGCACTGTTCTCCATTTGCCAGAAATAATTACAAGGTGATTTCCAAACCACAGTAAGTAAAGGTGAAAGCACTTATTTGCTTTGCATGTCACTTACAACAACAAAAGTTGTGTCTCAGCATCTACTCACATAGTGGTAGAGGAGGCGCGTCACATATGCATTGTTGATTGTGCCTATCTTTCACGACGCCCACTAAAAGTTGAATTTATGGCTCCAACCATGAGCATCCCCATCAATGCATGGCCCAATCTAAAAATCCTTTTTCGTATCATTTAATGAAGCCAATTTCC